CGTTTTAACCTCCCACCCTCAGTCTCTTCTTGGGCGTCCCCAGGGTCCACGGCTGTTTCTCCGCGTCCCCAGGGTCCACGGCCTCCAAGCAGGAGAAGCACCTGGCCGAGCGATTTGAAGCACGGACGCCACTTCAAGCCATTTGGGTTGCCCAAGACTCACACCAACCAAACAACCCATATCAACTTGCTTGCAGCCCATGAAGCCAAAAGCCGCCCACCTTCAGCCTTCCTTTGTGTTCAAGCTTCAGCGAATCCTGGGCGACCCGCACTCCCCGGGCTTGGCGACGGGATCCCCCTTGGACACCGCTCCAGCCAGGTCCAAGTTCACCTTCGTGAGCGTTCCGGCGATATCCACCTGCGCGCCCCCACCCTGAACAGCCCTGGAGGCTTGGGAGGAAGGGCCGTGGAGGCCTGGGGGGTCTTCATTCCTCCAAAAGAACAAAAAACGATGTGTCGCTGTTCCGTTCTTTGGTAGGTGACCTGCTAAGCAAGTTTTTGTGACGATATAGTCCATCGACTCGCGTTCGGTGATGGCAACAACATCTGTGATAAATAACGGATACAAAAAAAATGTCGAAATACTTTGTTTATACTATAATCAACCGCCTTAACCTTCACTTCAATCGGACCTTCCCGATCCAAACGGATCTTCCCGTCCCCAAGGTTCTAGCCCTGTCCACCTCCCATCGTCTCGTCATCGTCCAGCCTGGTTCTCACCCTTGGAATCGACCGTGTCCACCGACACCTGGATGACTGGTCAGGGCCGCCCCAATTCGGTTCCACGCACCGACCACTCCGACCGAGCACCATGTCCCCCCTGAGGCCCTCAGGGGGGACCTTTCCTCGTGACCGAGAGAGCTCTCCTCATCGTCCGAGCTCTTCAAGCACACGGCGACCGGGGTTCACCCCGGCCCCCCCGTTCCCTTGCGGGGAGGCGGCTGTTCTTCGAGGTAAGAGTAAAAATGGGTGCTCCGATCACAGCTGCGTTCGGATCACAGCTTTTCCACTTCGAAGCGCTCAAAGACTTTGCCTGATTTTCACGTGACTACTCTTTGGAATCCCTGGTCCTATAAGCCACTTTTACCCGCCTCGTCGCAACGGAGGTGAGGGAAAGTGATGTTGAGACCAATCCTGAGAAAGTCGCTCCAAATGAGCGATCATGCTGTAGCCACGAAAAAGGCAGAGGCACCGCCGGACATTGGCTCGTAATGCGGACAAAAACAATCTTCCCTAAACTTTTCCAAGATTCTTGAACCATCCGGGTGTCCTAACTTCAATTCCACAACAGTGCATAACATAGTTGCTTCAGGCACAACTCAAGAAAACCCCTGGTTCAATGTTTGGATGATTCATCGCACAACATCGCCCACGTCTTCGAGTCTATCAAACCACCAAGTCCCGAGATCGGCTCACCTTTGCCCTCAACTTTGTGTGGCGCATTTGGAGGGTCCACAGTCGACGCTGAGGATCGGCAGCTTCTGATTGAGCGAGGTGTCGACCACGATGTGGTCCTCAGCCGATCCGCAGCGAACGGAGCCCGCGCCCAGGCGCCAGAAACGCGGCGGACTCAGCATGGAGAGCTTGCTCCGGAGAGGTGAAAACAAGGGACCATGATGAACCATGTCACATCGGCCATGTCACCGAGGCCATCCTCCCACCATCCATCCCGACGAAGCCGCGGGACAAAGGCCGTCGAGCACCGATGGCCAACCCACCGGTCGCGAACGACGTTCAGCGCGGGCGATCGGGGTCCTACACCCGACCTCCGCCCCCAAACGCCCAGTCTCGGCAGGGGCGTCTTCCGTCCCATTCCGGCGATCGAGATCGCCCGTCCCGGGCGTCGAGCATGCCAGGAGGTTCAGCTTCGCTCGCTCCGAGGTGCGAGGATGTCGGCTCTGAGATAGCTGGAGAGCTCCGACAAGAAGAGCACCGCCTCGGACGGATGACATCGCTGGCGCGAGGACTCGAACGCGACGGCCGGACTCGAACGCGAGTCAGCGTCATACGGACCCCCGAACTCTTGGGGGTGGGCGGTTTTGGGTGGAGCCCTTGGGTTTGTTGGTTTTGGTGAAGACTGACGTGGTGAAGACTGGCAACGAACTGGTAAGTGAGCGAGGCTTCTTCAGAGAGACGCCTAGGACGATGTGCCAATGATGTCTCTCAGTAGTTGCTGGTTCATTGATTAGTTCTAGGATTCTACGCAAACCACTTGCGATGGAGGAAACACATGGAAACACCCCAAAACCTCCCTGACTGGCCCCGAAATGCTCCCAGGCCCAGCAGACCGGTCCAGATCCTCAACAGACCTCCCAAGTCCGATCCCACGACCAATGGTTTAAAGAACTCCCAGTGGCCATGATCAGCATGGAGACGAGGGAGATGATCCCGCCGCTCTGTGTCTTGATCCGGTAGTCATCGTGCACCTCCCGGACGAATCCGGACGAATGCACCTGAGGTGCGCCACCCGCCCCTGGCGAATGGCAGCCAACAACTCGATGAAGACCCAGGCCCCATACAGAAGACCTTCGTCCCCATCTGCGCAGGTCAACAAGGAGTCCCCAGCTGCGCAGGTTCACTTGGTTTGTATCGCACTTGGTCAACAAGGACTTTCGCAAACTAAGACTCCTGCAAGGATTTCTGCCTTGATTGCTGCTCTACCTTGTCCCTGGATCTAACAAGCAATAAGCGAGTTAGTGATCAAATCCAGGGTGGAAGCCGGACCAGTGAGGAGAGTTGTTCATGGTAATTCAGGACAGGAACCCTTGGGCTCATCACTAGCACTAGCATCACTAGCGGAGACCAATCCGTTTCATTACCAGCAGGGCCGCTCTCCCACCTTGCCGTAGAGGTCAAAACGTTTCACAGATGTTGTACCCGCCGACGGCCGCATGGCACGGTGGCTGGGCCGAAGGGTGGCTGCTGAGCGGTGCGTTTCACACATGGTTTCTGATCGTTTTCTGTGATCCAAAGACCCGAGTGGGTTCCACCCATGTCTCTGGATTTTTCACCTGCGTTTCTTGGTTGACACCATTCCATGTTTCTAAGTGGGGCTGGCAAGCAGTGCACCAGTATCATTTTTCCTGATCAGAAGCTGAGGACCGGAAGCTGGAAGGTCAATCGCCAGTTGCATGTACCACACAGATCTGACCATTTGGCGACGTTGAGAACCAAATTCAACCCATGAATTGGTGTTGCTTTGAGCCCAGGTCTTGACATGTGACATTTAAACACGTGTCAAAAAAAAATGAACACGTCATGTCTTCTAAAGATGTGGTCATGTGGGATCTAAAAACACATATGTTTACCGCGTGAGAACCTGACCCTCACAAACTCTGATAAGCAGCATTGTAATTTCAAGGCTAACAGTGCTCCAAAGACACAGAAGGTCAGCACAACACACCCAACTCACAAGGTCAGCACACTTGGACTCACAAGGTCAGACACAGAACCGATGCAAAACTTTCCACATAGCAAGTTTTGCCCCGATCCAAGTCTCTCCCCCACGTCCCATCTGAGACGGACGAAAGCACAAAACACACTTGTTCAAAGCTGACATGCCCATCTCTGGAGTGCAAATTCCAATGCATCGACCATAATTGCCCCACCCTTCAATTCCGTTATTGCAAATAAGGTTATTTCGCTTTGTACTCATTGTCAGCTGTCGGCCAAGGACCCTTACGGCCTTACGGCTTTTTAAGTAAGCGCTAGGCGATGACAACAACTGGAAGTTTTTCTCTGTGAGTTGCCGAGGCCCCAATGATGCAGTCTGACCTTGGTTGCTAATTCAAACAGTGGGCACACAAGAAGTTTATGTGTTCCTTGTCGAGAGGAGAAGTTGAAAGCAACCCCATTCCTCTGAGTTGGTCTTTGCCGCCCCACACCACACGTGTTTGGTTTATCTCTATGCTCCTACTCAACCTCTGTATCTAGTTAGTTGCACACATCACACATGTATTTCCAGACTGCCATCACACTCCGGGGCAAGCCGAAAAAAAGACGCTCATCCTTCCCAACCGCTGCATCAGCCTCCAAAGGGTCAAGATCAACCCCCTCTCCCCACCGGGCGACCACTTCGACCACCAAAGGACGACCAGGTCCCGACCTGTTCAGGTCGGACCATTCCAACATCACGACGGTTGCGGACAACGATGAACACTTCTACCAGGAGGGACTCTCGCTTGTTGCTTTGATTCTCCCACAAGGACTCTACTGAGATACAGTTTGTATGCCATGATGATTGGCTTGAGTCTTCACACTCATTAAGCAAAACCTCAAAGCGTATGCACCATTGAACATACACACCAAGCACGTCTTGCTTTACCTCTTTGATTATATACATCAAGCAAGAGCTAGTCTACCCGACTTGGCCCGACGCCTCCCCTCCAATCTTTTCAAAATCAGACTTTTAAACCACGCGCAGTCTCTTTGCGACAATCTCCGAAAACAAGCAGCTCACTTTGGAACTTGAACATTTGCTTGAAATGCCTCAAAGAAATTTGCCTAAAAGTGGAGTCTCACTCGGTGGTGGTGATTTGGCAGCCTTGCGGAAGCAAAGTGCTCAGTAATTCCCAGTGTTTGAGTTCAAGAGATCTCTCATCCACAAAGCAGATTTCGGAAGTATGTCGCGAGGGTCTTTGAACTCCGGTGCGGTTCTAATAAAGCTCATCGACGTATTCCTTGGGAAAGTTTCCGTACTGTGTCGGCATCTGCTCAGCCACTCTCGAAACAGCCAAGTTCTGGTAGGTTGCCAGGGTAAACTGAGACCGCATGCACGTGCTGTTGAGAGCCTTTTGCCTGGTGTACAGGCCATATGCCAAGCGGACAACGTCAAAGGCTGTGGGCGGCTCAGATGGATTGATATTCCGTTGCACACGGAGATCTACACCCATCTTGCAGGACTCCCACTCGGTGCCTTCCAACCTTTTTGTGGCATTGCAAACTACAAAA